CGTCTGATCCCCTCCTCTTCGTCTGTGCATGTCTGGACCTGGCGCCTTCTTCCTGTGTATAGCGCCAGGCCCCTTCACACCTTGTGGTGAGAATGATATATGTTTAGTCTGCATTGCGACATTGATTGGGCTCGTCATTAGTATTCTAGCATTCTGCTTCTCTATCTTGTACTATGTGAAAGAGGTCAGTCCCGGTCAGGTCAGGACTTGTATCTAAGTCTTCCACTGCGCTATAAAGCACCATTCTTGTATGTATTGGAATGCGCACTGCTTGTTGAGATTCTACTTGCACTCCATTGTCCATTCAGTCCTTTGCAGATCCTTGGTTTTATATGTACACGAGTCAACACCTGAAAAAGTGTGCTTGGGTGGGAGATGACCTGAGTTGGAGCAGTTGTGCGCTTGGATTGGGAGAGAAGTATAGGAAAGCGATCTGAGTCGTCTGACACTGAAGTGTGCTTGGCTTGAGCTCTGGTTCCATCAATTGCCTCAAGAGGAATGCCTGTATCAGGCATGAGGCAAGAGCAAAAACTGCAAACGTCTGAAATGCACATGCTTCCAGGACTCAAGGCCTGGCCATTACAATCGGGGTACATCTGTGAGAAACTCTTAGCTATCCTTGCTTGGACAATGAAGAATTGGGTCCCACACACTCGGGAAGCCTTGCAGGAAAATTGTTCCTGTTTGGCAGTGCCACTGTCAGCTCGTCCTTAAACAACTTTCTCAGAATGCATAGTTGTAGCAGGGCCTGCCAAGTCGGGCGTCCGGGCAACCTGCCTGGGCAGCCAGCTTGCTTACGTCAGCCGAGGAGGTGAAAAACAGTGGCAATTCCCTTTTTTTGGCCATCATGATGGGGCATTTCACCCACAAAGGTCTGGCCAAAACGAAAAAGAGGAAAATAAAGAAGAGGAAGAAGTGTGATTAGTTGCAACTTGTAACTGCTTGCCCAGCTTCTCCTCCCTCCTCTGTTTTCCCTATTAATTGTCAATTGCTTCCTGTGTGCTGTCTATTGCTGTTGTGGCCTCATCAACTTTTGCACCATGCAGACAGACCTCCTTGTTTCTGCTGCGAAGACGGGAAAAGTCGTGAACATCAAGAAAGGGCAGTTCTGTGCTCCGCAGGTAAGGTTTTCCTCTGGCAGCAGCAGGCTCATCTTATCACTCATAATGGAGGCGGACTTTCATGTCTGTCCATCGATTGTTGTTCTCTCCATTCATACATTGATTTGTTGTTCTCTCCGTTCATAACCTTTCTTCGTTTTTCCATTCTTTTCTGCTCCCTTTTCAAGCTTCCAATATCCCTTTTCTGAAGGGATTGAATTTAAGCATGGGGCTTGAGCTATCCCTGTTGGGATTGTGAGATCTCAACCCACAACCTGCTCAACTATTTGCTTTATTTCAAGTGTATGTTTTTAACTTTTTTTTTTTTTTAATAAAATGAAAATGCATTTGCAAGGAAAATGAGCGATAGCGAACTTCAGAAATCAAACAGCATCTCACCTGTCCAATCTGATCGACCACTCGAAGATACAACAGATGATGGAAAGAACCGTAGGGGGATGCACATTCGCTCTGTGGTCTAATACAATGGGTCAAAGCAATAAAGGAACAGCAATACTCGTTCCAAAAAGATCAAAAATCCTGTCCGAGGGACAAATACTGAACAGCGAGGGGGACTGCAATGATGGGAGATGGTCTTGGCTAGACATCAAATGGCAAGGAGAAAACCTGCGAATCCTCAACCTGTATGCACCAAATACAGAGTCCGACAGACTAACATTCTTCGAGAACATTAAATCCCTCATCCCCAACCCACAGCCTATAGTTATCGCAGGGGACTGGAACACGACCCTAGACCCGAACCTGGACAGGATCTCAAGAACAGCACTAATGGGACCCCCAAGAGCGGGCACTCGGATTCGAAACCTAATGACTGAATTTGAACTCTGTGACCCCCTCAGGTCACTTCATCCGGACAAAAAAGTATTATCCCGGATAAGGAGGAATCAAGTCAACCGGACTTCATTGTCTAGGATAGACTACTTCCTCATATCCGAGACCTTACTCGGAACAGTTAAAGAGGCTGAAATCCTCCCAGCGGCAGCATTCCAAGGATTGGACCACAAACCAATTCAGCTGCTGTTGAACTTCAATTTACCAGTCCAAACAGGCCAGGGTTTTTTCAGGCTGAACAACTCCCTAATAAAAACCGAGAGGATGACTGCGGCAGTCAAAGAAAACTGGGCTCTCAACAAACAGCGAGAATCTAAGCAGATAAACGGCCACCAATGGTTTATCGACAGTTACACGAACCTAACACGGATAGTCTCAGCGGAGTCTAGAGATATCGCTAGAGACCGTAAAAGAAGAAGGGAAGAGCTCCAGTTCGCTATAGCTGTCGCAGAAGCAAACCTGGCGGGAGACCCAACCAGTAATTTTTACCAAGAATTATTAGACGATACCAAAAAAGAACTGAACGAGTGGAGAAGATGGGAGCTGAGAGGCCTACAAATCAGAGCAAGGATGACAGACTACACACTCAACGAATCCATGACGAAGTTCTTCTTCTCTAAAATAAAAGCTAATGCAAGGAACAATATGATAGAAGGACTCAAAGACCCAACAGACCAAGGGGTTACCAAAACAACAGGCCCCGAGATGGTCAGGATAGCCAGTTCATTCACACAGACCTTTATGAGTCAAAGACACCCTCACCCCCGACCACAGCGAACCTAGCTGCTCGCCAACTCATGCTCTCATATCTCGACAGGACCATCACAGATATTCAGGCGAAAGGCCTCGAAAAACCCTGACAATGGCCGAACTACACATAGCCCTGACACAGATGGGTAACGATAAAGCCCCGGGCATCGACGGACTCTCCAAAGAATTTTGGAGTTGTTTCTGGCCAACCCTGGTGAAGACCTGCTCGAGTTTTTCAATGAAAGCATGCGCAGAGGAGGCCTAGGAGAAGATCCGAGTACCAGCGTGGTCTCACTGCTTTACAAGAAGGGAGACAAAGAAGACTTGAAGAACTACAGACCTATATCCCTACTAACCACGCCCTACAAAATCCTAGCCAAGACCCTCGCAAACAGAATCACCAAATTAACTGACAGCTGCTTCCACATCGACCAAGCCGGTTTCATCCCGGGTCGGTACATACTAGACAACGTAATGACTCTAAATGAGGCAGCACAAAAGATCACGGAAAAACGAATGAAGGCGGCAATACTATTCTTCGATTTTGAGAAAGCCTACGATCAGGTCAACTGGGAATTTCTACATTCATGTATGGAAAAAATGGGAGTTGGCCTGAATTTCAGAAATTGGGTGAGAGTACTGTACGCTGATGCAATAGGCAGGGTCCAGGTCAACAGAATCCTATCAGATACCTACCCAATCTCACGATCAGTCAGACAAGGCGACCCACTGGCTCCCCCCATATTTCTCTTCATCATGGAAGCCATAGCCTCATTCCTCCGTAAAGATCCGTCCATCGACCGCCTCACAGAACGGAACTTCAGCCCACTACACGATTTCGCCTTACCCACAACACTCATGTTCGCTGACGACCTCACGGTCCTCATCCGAGCCAACAACAACTCCTTTCAAGCTCTCGTAAGGGCTATGGAAGCCTTCAGATTAGCCTCAGAGATGAGGGTCAACTGGAACAAAACAGAAGGATGGTGGCTTGTTGACGGCTCCCCTCCCCAACCAAACACCGACACACCCATGACATGGACCTCGGGAGAGAAAGCACTAAGGTTCCTGGGCATCATAATCAACAAGGAAGGGGTTTGGCCAGGCATGGGGCAAAACTTAATCGCTAGGGCAATCACCCGCTTGGCCCAATGCAAAAACGCTCAGGCTTCCCTAATCGGACGGGCGCTACTGATTAACACAACCATCTTTTCCACACTGTGGTACATGGCATCCATCTGGTCCCCCCCTGATGACTACCTCAAGGAGCTGAAAAACAGGGTGAGATGCTACCTGTGGACAGGCGATCCCAACAGAACTACTTGCATCAACAGGGTCGCATGGAATCATATCACAAGGAAACCGCAGGAAGGAGGCCTCGGGATTATCGACCCCAAACAGGAGGCAATAGCACTGCAAATGAAGTGGATAATCAAGATTCTCGTCAAACAGTCCCTCCCGTGGACCCAGATGGCGTTAGACAGCATCAGAAACTTAGCCCCCATCAACTCCCCCCCGAACATGAAAGGTTTGTTCTGGCTCATGGCAAAGGACTGGACAATCAAATCCGGCAGAGTTATCACAAACCATACTCCAATAGCCAGGTCATACTGGACCCCCACCATCAAAGCCTGGCGTAGAATGATGCCAAGCAAACACGGCGCACCAGGAAACAGAGAAGAGGTTTTGAGACAACCTCTATTCTGCAATCCCTGGATCACCGACCCCAGTGAAGCGGAATGGACCCTACGCTCTAAAGACCGTAGGTGGTTATCCTGGGTTGAAAAAGGTGTGTGGCAAGTCAGACACATCTGGGAAGAAGACCAAGGACGATGGACTACTGATCAAGAACTACGCAATGCTCTCAAAGGTTGTCACTCCCTATCTGATAACTTAAGGGTGATCCAAAATAGCATCCCTACACACTGGCTCCCTCTCCTAAGGGAGGATTTCTCGTGGAAGTCTGGGGACTGGGGTATACTAATATCCCAAACCCATCCTACTAGAGCGTACAGATTCGTCGCTAGAATCAACTCATCTGGCTACCTATCCAAGTTCTACTCGTACCCCGTAGCCAAGCACACCACTAACGAGTTGGAAATCCAGAACAGAGATCCCCAGTGCGATGCACTCGACACATTCCGACTGAGGAAAGTGAGGGTCTCAAAGAACAAACCCTGGATACTTTTTCGATCGGACCTCTGCATCTCTGAGCTGGAGTTCGACCCGAAGGAATGGGTTTGGAAACAGGGTAAGTCAGGGAAAACAAGAACGATAGAGGAATACGACGTCAAATTCGGTTATGATTTGGGCCTATAAACCACAGACCCGGACCCCAGACTCGAAGGGAAATGGAAGGAAATTTTGAGCTTAGACCCCTCGGCCCCCATATCTATCCCGTGGTCGAAGTTCCTATCCATCAGACCAGCCAGGGTCCGAAGTATGCAATGGCTCATAGCGCACGTCTCTCTGCCAACCAATCAATGGCTCCACAAGAGGAGAAAGCACACAGACCCCAACAGCAATGACCTATGCAGACTCTGCACAGACAACGTCCCAGAAGACATACCCCACTGCCTCCTGTATTGCATTGAAGCAGCATGGATCTGGAACAAAGTACACAACCTATGGTACATCCTCTTCTCATCTCCCCCCCCACCCACAACCCCCCTTAACATCCTGATCTTATCTAACAACCCTGACAATCTCAAAGGCGGGAAGGAAGTCTGGTACCATATACTCAGAAAGCTGGCTCTTTGGGTGATCTGGAAGAGGAGATGCACCAAGACGATCGAAGGGACTGAAGTGCCAAGAGAAGAAATGTGGGCTCTTTTACTACGAATGGCAGAAACAGAGATTCGAGCCAGAYGGAAGGAATTGACCATGACGACGAAAGGCAGACCAGAAAGGACAGCCACAAAGAGACGGATGTTCATAAGAGACTGGCTTCTACAAGGAAAGATCGCCACAGTGGCGGACAACAGATTGGTTTGGAAGAAGTGGCACACCACAGGAGCAGGGACATAGAGGAAAACAACTGAGATTATAATCTCAATAGCAAAGATATCTCTCCGCTTTCCTTGTTTTATAAGTAGTATCTGACAGAGACACACTTGACTCTGAGAGGGAAAGTGGTAGGGCAAGCTGACAGTCAATCCTCCTAATAAGGAGCAATCAATGCTGGCTGGTCAGGGTTCCTTCGGCCAGACGGAAGGAAGCGTGAGGGTGTTCACCATGTATTCCAATTTTGACTTGCCGGTGATAAGGAACCGGACTGACGCTCCCCAGAATGGATATGGAGCCAGGACCATAAGGACCTGCTTAATTAAAAATAAATAAATAAATAAATAAATAAATAAATAAATAAATAAATAAATCAAACAGCATCATACACATGAGACCAGAGAGTCGTGATCTCG